AGAGAGAGAGAGAGAGAGAGAGAGAGAGAGAGAGAGAGATTACAGGCTGTAACTGTGGAGAAGAGAGTTTTTAACCGGCCAGGTGTTTCATATGTATTAGCTGCTAGTAGCTTTTTGCTGTGTAGGGTCATATGATGCGAACGCAGAGGATAGAGTTTGTCACATCGGAAGGAATTTCACATGTACAAAGGGATAATAACCTTTTGCAGTGTGCCTCACACTATTTAGGACTGCTGTTATCTCTTTGTTTTCTTCGTGCCTTATGGCTGCTTTTCGGACTAACTAAAGTGGAGAGCATCTCGTTTGTGTAGTATGTACAAGTAGCAGTAGTCTACTGTGTAGCATCAGCATATGTTGTTTTCGGTCTATTTTGTGTGCTGGGAATGCCTCAGTTGTTAACAATTGGACTTTTTTCTAACTGGCTATCACATTGGAAATTTTGGATAAATCTAGGATGCACCGAAGGCTCCGTTTGCTCGGTCGGGCGCACTGGTTCTGTAACTGGAGCTGAAAAGGTAAACAGAACGTGGATGGAGGAAAAGGAGTCAGGCTGGATCGGTGTGGAATGTGGAATTAAAGGCATGCACGCTGGAGGAGTATAAACACTTCAAGGAGGAGTATGAACATCTACGTCCACTTCTGAATGGAGGCCAACTGTAGTATCTCTGGCACAAACCATGGGTAGGGTCAAGCGATAAATTTCAGGACCTGAATGAGCGACGGGGTATGCATGTCAACATGTGGTCGAAAGGTGGGACACGCGGAACTGGAAGTGCCCAGATTCCTGTATGAAGGAGTTTGAAATATGAATCATTTTCTCGGTCCCCGTATGCGTATCTATTGTACGCAATGTGCTTATGTGATCAAACATGCATATGTGCCAACAGACCGGCATCATTGTTTGTAGTGATGAAAGGTTCGAGGCAGTGCATTGCTCCTACATACGGAACGTTGTGGTGAAGAGATTAATGCAGAAGATAAATTTTGGTGCACATTATTCGCAAGAGTCAGGTGTGGTTGTGTGTTCAACCCTGCCCGCATTACCTGCATGCCGGGGTGAAGGGAAGGGGGGGGGGGGGGGGGGCACAGGCAGGTTCGCTCGGGAATCCCCAAGTATTGGTGCTGACCTATCCCAAGCATCTTCCTGCTAGGCTTTCTGTGATGAAAACCTGCCTGGGACAAAATGACGGCTGCAGAGGGAGTATGACCACTAGAGAGCTAAGGAGTGGAAGAGGGAGGCAGGCAGTTTTCACTGGAAGTCCAAGTACTGGTGTGCACGGCCAGTTTCCCTAGGGAATCCCCAAGTATTGGCTCTGACCTATCCCAGGCATCTTCGTGCTAGGCTTTCTCTGATGAAACCTTGCCCGGGCCCGAAAAGACGGCTGCAGAGGGAGTATGACCACCAGAGAGCCAAGGAGTGGAAGGGGGAGGCAGGCAGTTTTCACTGGAAGTCTAAGTACTGGTGCTCATCTGTCCGGATGCCTTATTCGATAGTGAAACTGTTCCTAGGCCAAGCAGGCAGGAACAGTCAGGTGATGAGCTGAAAGAGGGAGGACAGGAGGTAAAGAGGGAGGTAGGCAGGTATTTGTTTGGAAGCCTACGTATCTAGCTATAAGGCTGGAACAGTGCTAACGGTGGAACTGTGCCACGGCTGTGAGCCAGTGCTCACCTGTCCCAAAAGGCTTTGTCATACTAGACCTTCACTGATGAAACGCTTTGTGGACCGAGAAGTCAGGGAGAGCGAGAGCTTTTCAAGTGGCACCACGATCCCCCTTGCTGCCTGGTCAACGGGTCAGCGTTGCCTCGACTCCACAATGGCATGCGTTGATCGTCGAAGCAACTCCTCTTTGCCTGCTGAACGAGATGTTTGCAAGCAGATCGACACGGTCATTGCGCAAAGCAAAGTGCCAGGGAACCGACCGATTCTGCGTAATTTGGTAATTGGCTACTTTGCCTGCCTCCTGCTGGTCATTGGGTTGTGCCTTGTGTCACCATCTGTCTTACACACAGGCATTAGGCAGACGAAAACAAGTGACCATGTCATTCGGATGGCCTGGGGGCAGCTTGTGCTTAGCCAGAGTGTCTGCCGGAGTGCCAATACCATTCTCATGGACTGTGTCAAACAGAAGCCTTATGCAGATGACATGATCAAGCTGTCAACTCGTTATTCTGAGTGGAAGATTGGGCATGACGGCCTTGCAAACGGCAATTCCAGCCTGGGTTTGCCTGCGCCTACGTCAAACGCCATACGCAGTCTTTATAATGACATGCGTCCCAGTTTTCACGAGATCGACGAGAGCGTGAATGCTATCCTTGCTTACCAGGCGGCTAACGTTTCTAACTTGACTGATCGTTGCGACGCCACGTTCGAGACCCAGACAGCGTCGATAAGCTCCAACCTGAGCAATTATACGCAGAAAATGAATCAAGTACTGGCGGAGTATGAGGTCGATCGGCAAAGGTGCATCGATTCGCTGATGGTGGTGATGTGGGTGCTTCACGCTGTGGCCATCCTAATTCTTCTTGTCCAAGGAGCATTTGTCATTCGCCCTCTTCATGGGAGGCTGCTGCTGTTGATCAGTGAACGTTATGAGTTGTTGCGGAGAAGCTTTGAAGCAGAGGCAGAAAGTCGAGGTGTTTCCCTGCTTATGGTCTCGTACGTAAGCCATGAGTTGAGGGAGCCGCTAGACAGTGCCATTGCGTACATAAGAGATGCTGCCCATCATCTTCTGGATTACATGAGGGAGTTGCCTTCCAGAGAGATAGATGCTGCCATGCTGCAGGCAGACTGTATGGCTGCCCAGGACAAGCTGAACCAAGCAATGCAGAACTGCCAGCTCATGAACACGGTGATCAGTGATGTGGCAGACATGCGGAGACTCGAGCTGGGGAGGATGACGCTTGCAGTCGACTACATCAGTGTGGCCGATGCTGTGCGGCAAGTCGTTAGGACTCTCGAGCCGAAGCTTAACGGTAACAAAAGTGTGAGGTTGACTACAGATCTGGACTCAGCTGTATTGTGGAGAAAGTACCTCTGTGATCAACATCGACTCGAGCAGGTACTTCTTAATCTAACAAGCAATGCAATCAAGTTTTGTGACGAGGGAGTCGTGACGGTGCACGCTCGGCCCACAGACGATGGACTGCGGTTTGAAGTATCGGACACGGGCTCCGGCCTACCTGAAGAGGCAATTCAGAAACTCTTTGACCCATTTATGGAAACACCGTACGACAAGAATGCGAACAAGTCGGGGGGGACCGGATTGGGTTTGTACATAGTCAAGCTGCTCATTGACCTGCAGGGAGGATCTTATGGTGTGTACAGCGAGCCGAGCATCGGCACAACATTCTGGTTTGAACTGCCAGCCCAGAATCTTGAGAGTCGTGTTTCCATGGAACGAAAGAGCATGACGTTGGAGAAGCGGAGTAACGACTCTGCCATCCACTTCAAGATAGCAGGACCCCCTCCCCTTGAGGCTGAGGAGCATGCAGTGGATGTGGGAGGGGCGTTATCGAGCGCCAGTGTGCACACGCCATCGCTGGTGACTGTAGAGGTTGTTTCCACGCGGACGAGTCCTCTCCTAGCTGCAGGTGGAAAGGGAGGGGCTGGGCCGCCAGGCCGTGACCCATGGGAGGCTGCGTCGCGTAGTGACTGAAACAAGTGGCTGTGGGTCTGCCAATGCGAGAGGGATTCCCATGGCCAGCGATTGTTCGGTGAAGAGGGGGAAGCATTGTCAAGGTGCAGCATGCTGTATGCTGAGTCCTTGATTATCTGGAGGAGGAAAGGAAGGTGCTGGGCCAGGGCAGGACCTGTGGGAGGCTTCCTTGTGTAGTGACTGAAACGAGTGGGTGTGCCGATGTTCAAAGGGATTCGGATGGCCAATGATTGTTCAGTGGAGGGGGGAGCCTTGGCAAGGTGCAGCATGCTGTATGCTGAGTCCTTGACTATATGGAGGAGGAAAGGAAGGTGCTGGGCCAGGGCAGGGCCTGTGGGAGGCTTCCTCGTGTAGTGACTGAACGAGTGGGTGTGTGTGTGCCAACCTTTGAAGGGATTCCGATGGCCAATGATTATTTGGTGGAGGAGGGGGGCGCATTTGCAAGGTGCAGCATGTGCTCGCTGACAAGTGGGTGTTCCACTGCCACAAGGGATTCAGGAGGGGAGCGATGGGTGTCCTGCGTGGAGGGGGGAGTATTGGCGAGTTGCAGCATGCATGGCTTCCTCATGTTGTGACGGAAACGAGTGGGTCTGGGTGTGCCCACGTTCGAAGGGATTCGGATGGCCGATGATTGTTCGGTGGAGGGGGGAGCATTCTCAAGGTGCAGCACGCGCTTGCTGACAAGTGGGTGTTCCACTGCCACAAGGGACTCAGGAGGGGGGCGATGAGTGTCCCACATGGAGGGGGGAGTATTGGTGAGTTGCAGCATGCATAATGTTTCCATATAAACAAGCCACCATCAACTGGATGCACAAGGAATGACGAGGACTGGACCAGGGGGTGATCCTCCCCTGCAAGGCTGCAAGTCTCAGCATGCTGAGAAGTGGATATCCCACTGCTAGAAGGGATTTAGGAGGGGGCGGATGCATCGTTCATGGCGAGGTGGGGGTATTAGTGAGTTGCAACATGCACTCTATTTCCACAAGAACGAGTCGTCGCCAACCTGGTGCACAAGGAACGACAAGGACTGGACCAGGGGGTGAAGCTCCCCTGTAAGGCTGCACGTTGCAGCATGCTATGTGCTGAAAAGTGAAGTGGATGTGACACTGCTAGAAGGGATTTAGGAGGGGATGCATGAGTAGGTGGGGGTATTGGTGAGTTGCAATATGCATGCAATTTCCACAAGAACAAGTTGCCGCCAACCAGGTGCACAAGGAACAACAAGGACTGGACCAGGGGGTGATCCACCGCCGCAAGGTTGCACGTTCGAGCATTGCTATACGCTAAGAAGTGGATCTGCCGCTGCGAGAAAGGATTTAGGAGGGGACGCATCAGTGTTGCATGGGAGGTGGGGCTATTGGTGAGTTGCACCGTGAAATGGCATGCATGCTATTGCCACAGAAACGAGTAGCCGCCAACCGGGTGCAGAAGGAATGACAAAGACTGGACTAAGAGGTAGGGGGTGATGCTCCCCTGGAAGAAGGCTGCAAGGCCTGGCAAATTAACCAGGTGAGGGAGCCGGTCTTAGATGAGATTGAAGATATTTTCAGTAGAACTTACGGCCGGGACTTTATAGAAAGAGCCATGTATTTGTTTCATTGATTATTTGCGCACTTCAGCACATATTCCACACCTTATCGTCATCTCAGGTGGGTGACGAAAGGGGAATGGAGAGGGCAAGAGAGAGGTGCAGTGTTGCACGCGACGTTGTGGAAATGTACAACAGAAGAATACTTAACACAGATCGCCTTCGTTGATGTTGCTGCGGAAGATTTTTCAAAGTCACGGCTGCCGTTTCAGCTCCATTGCGATGGACATGATGGATGGTCCATGAACGGCTGACTAATCGACGTGAGAGTTATTCATACTCATTCTTCTTGGTGCTGCCAAATGTACGTTGGTGCCCATCCCGCTTACAACCCTGTTGTTGCTCCGTATACAGTATGTCAACCAATTTCTCACGAGTCGGCCAGCATTTCTCCTGGCTTGCCAAAAAGCCAGATAGCCAGATAGCCAGATAGTGAGATAGTGAGATAGCTAAGTGGCCAGGTAGCCAGTTTTCTTCAGTGCTGATCCAGCATGCATCCCTGCTACATACTATGCGACATGCTAGCTGGCCACATAGCGTGATAGCCAGATAGCCAGATAGCCAGATAGCCAGATATGCAGGTAGCCAATGTTCTTCCGTGCTGATCCAGTCCTGTCTCTTATACACATCTAGATGTGTATAAGAGACAGGTATACAGTATGTCAACCAATTTCTCACGAGTCGGCCAGCATTTCTCCTGGCTTGCCAAAAAGCCAGATAGCCAGATAGCCAGATAGCCAGATAGCCAGATAGCCAGATAGCCAGATATGCAGGTAGCCAATGTTCTTCACTAGCGATCCAGTGTGCATACCTGCTAATTGCTATGCCACATGCTATCCAGCCAGATAACCAGATAGACAGGTAGACAATCTTCTTCCATGCAGATCCATCATATATCCCTGCTTCTTACTATCATGGCATTCGCATTCAAGCCACATAACCAGATAGCCAGATAGCCAGATATGCTGGCTGCCGACATAGCCAGATAGCCAGATATGCTGTGTAGCCAATGTTCCTCAGTGCTAATCCAGAATACATCCCTGCTACTTACTACACCACATATCCGCTGCGCCCAAGCCTGCCAGCCCGCCTCGAAGCCAGCCAGACAACTAGACAGGCGAATACCCGGTCCGCTCGACTTCGAGGATGTCTTTCAGACGGATAGATAGCCAGATAGCCAGATAGCCAAATAGCCTACCACCTAAATTATCAGTAGACAGATTGCCAGACAATCCGTCAATTGTCGCTCTTGGACATCAGAGCATCCTATCAGTTGTTCCAACTGATTTGCCACATGTGTAATCCACTTCATTCGTTTGCATTTATTGTTAAATGATGGGAATTTCAATCCCCACAAAATATCAATTTGTGACTTTTGTCAACTGAATTGACTTTTTGAATCTGTTGATCCACTTGTTTGCGCCTTTTGTGAGTTTTCTACCATTGTGGGCAGATGGAGCAATGCACAGACAGGGCAGGGACTTCTAGTAGGTCAGTGCTTAATCTCAAGTTGAAGTTGATCAAAGGATGGGTAGAACAAAAGATGGATCATTATGCGCACGTAAATGGAACATTTGCTTGCTGGAAAAGGTATATAGATATGTGTATAGGTATATATAGGAAGTTGACATAGACAGATTGGTAAACGCAGATAGATCGCTAGAGAAGTAGGTTGGCCGGTACGTATGTGTGTCCAGAGAGTCGGTGAGCTCAATAGATTGTTGGGCACGGGGAAAGTGGTGAAGGACAGGAGAAGTAGGCAGGGTAAGAGAAAAAGAACGAGAGAGAGAGAGAGAGAGAGAGAGAGAGAGAGAGAGAGAGAGAGAGGGCTGGTGGGAGGGAGGGGGGGAGGTGGGGAGGGAGGGAGGGAGGGAGGGAGGGACTGAGAAGCAGACAGGAGAAGACAGAGACAGGCAGACAGACAGACAGACAAGCAGACAGGCAGGCAGACAGGCAGACAGGCAGACAGGCAGACAGAGATGAGATAGTAAGGAGGTGGGACCGCCACAGAGAGACACAGTGGCAAACATAGACGGGCACAGATAGACAACCAGAGGCAAGGAAAGAGAGGCAGACAGACAATCAGACAGGCGAGCAGAGAGACTGAGAGACTGATCGACCTACCGACGGACAGACACAGACAGACGAGTGTACAGACCGGCAAGTAGGCAGGTGAGCAGGTTGGCAGGTAGGCTTACAGAGAGACAACCGGGCAAACAAACTCAGAGAAAAGGCGGATGGGCGCATGGGCACCTTGCAGCGCTTGAATTTGCGGCAATGGAACTGCCATTTGAGCAAATAAAAAAGCAGAAAAAACATCAGAATCATTTCAAATTTTCACAAGGGGTGGAAAAAGGGGTTGGCTCGGTGATTATGTCTTCGAACACAATACCTTTCTCATCCTTTTGGCTAAGATCAAGGGTGGTATCTGTTGACCGATCAGTTTAATATCTGATCTGTGGTTCATAGGGCCGCATTAAAACAAACAACTAAACAAAAAATTATTTGAACACAGGCAGACAGACATGCAGCCCGGCAGGCACATAGGTCCGCAGGCAGGCAGGGAGGTAGTGAGGCAGGGAGGCAGGCACGCTCAGAGACACAGAGATAAGATGACAGACAGTGGGCACCTTGTGCTTGCCATATACGTACAAGACGACAGACGCTACGCTCCTTCGGCGCCACAAACATGAGCCGCCGTCGTCGTCAAACGTACACCCCTTCGACTTCACAAACATGAGCGACCGATGGTGTCGAACGTCACATCTCGGCGACGAAATGTGATCGGGTGACGAACAGTGCCAACCGCGGACCGGTAATGAGACTGAACTGGGAAGTTTGACTGAAACGTTGACTGGATGGCGAAGTTTGACTGAAACTTTGACCGACTGGAAACTTTGACTGGAACTTTGACTTGAATGGAAATTTTGACTTAAGCTTTGACTGAAATTGAGAGGATTTTACCGTTCGTGACCGTGAGCCTTTCCATGGATAATATATTAAATTATTAATATTCAGGTGAAAAAGAGATCTGAAAGGTTTTGGTATCTCATAGTCTGCAGTAGATCAAGCTCTGCGTGGTGTTGTCGTTGCATCGGGCCGGTGCGTCTGAGTGTGATGTCTGTGTTTTTGTGTGCTGTACGCAAACAAGCACACGGTTGAGGTATAGACGCGGTCTGCATGGTGTTGTTGTCCCATCGAGCACGTGTGTCTGAGTGTGATGTCCGTTTTTGTATGCTGTACTCGAACTAGCGCACGGTTGAGGTATAGACGTCATCCACGGTAATAAATTAATAATGCTATAGTAGATATAGCATCGAACAGACGTAATAGCACCTGCAAATTCTGCAACATTTAAATGTAGCAATAAATGTAATAGCACCTAGAACATTTATAGCATATCATTTATTGCTATAAAATTAGTAGAAATGTGATAGCAATAAAATTCAATAAATAGTATAGCCATAA